AAAAACCCACAAACCCCCCAAAAAAACCCACAAAAAACCCCCACAAGAAACCCAAAAAAATCCCCAAAAAACCCCAAAAAACCCCCAAAAAATCCCCCCAAGAAACCCCAAAAATCTCCTAAAAACCCCAAAAAATCCCCAAAAAAACCCTCCAAAAATCCCCCCAAAAATCCCCCCTAAAACCCAAAAAAATCCCCAAAAAACCCCCAAAAAACCCAAAAAAACCCACAAAAAATCCCCTCAAAAATCCCCAAAAAACCCCCAAAAATCCGCCAAAAACCCCCAAAAAACCCAAAAAAAACCCCAAAAAATCCTCCCTAAAACCCAAAAAAATCCCCCCAAAACCCCAAAAAATCCACAAAAAAACCCACAAAAACCCCAAAAAATTCCCCAAAAAATCCAAAAAAATCCCCCCAAAAATCCCCCAAAAACCCAAAAAAATCCCCAAAAAATCCCCCCAGAAAACCAAAAAAAATCCAAAAAAAAACCCCAAAAAAAAGCCCAAAAATGTCATTTTTTTTGCTTATCTGAAGGAACCGGCCCCGATCTGTTTCCAGTCCCGGCTGAATTTTATCAGCGCAGCCGGAGCTGCTCTGGCAGCAGCGATAGGAACATTTTTTTGCAGATTTTGGAAACCATTCCCGCATTTTTTTTCCTCTTTTTTGGGTTTTTTTGTCTCTCCTCTTCCCCTTCCCCATCCCGAGATAAAACCCGAGGAGCTGCTCTGAAATTTCCGCCCTTCCAAAACCTCTTAAAAAGGGTTAAAAATTCAAAAAAAAATCCAAATTTTCTCTTCCCCCCTCGGAGCTGAAGGGTTCGGAGTGAATTCCCCAGAAAATTTGGGGTTTTTTTGGGTTTAAATTGAGGTTTTTTAATATTTTTTTTCGCTTTTTAATCCCAAACTTTACTGATTTCAAACTTTCCATCCCAAATCTGCTCCCAAATTTAACCCTTCTGCTGCCGGGGGGACTCCAGCACCACCAAACTTCGCCTTTAAAAACCGAATTTAAAATAAAAATCCGATTTTTGAGGCGTTTTTCAGCTGGGGTGGGGGGTGGAGTTTCTCAAAATGCTGATTTATTTAAAAAATAAAATTAAATTATTAAATCAAACGGGTGAGGAAAGATGTTGGAGCTGGGAGGAATTTTTTTCCACGTCTGATTCTCCTCGAGGATGGGTGAATTCTTCACTTCCCCAAAAGGATTTGCCAAAAAAAATCCTCGATATTTTCATTTCCAGGAGATTTTTCCAGGAGTTTCTCGATGTTTTCTGCCACCGGGATTTAAAAACGAGTTTGATTTTTGTTTTCCTCACTTAGATTTCTGGTAAAGAGCGGATATTTTTAAGAGGTTCTTTGAAAAATAGAAATGAAGGCGTTAGCTGATTTTAATAGGAAATGCGCTTACTTTTAAAAAAAAAAAATCGAAAAAAAAATTTAAAAAGGGAGAAAAAAATGTAAAAAAAATAATAAAAAATAATAATAAAATGTGGGAAATTTTTGTTTTCTGTAGCATCAAGCCGGATGTATTTTCCAGAGATGTTTTAATGCTCCAGAATAAAAACGGATTTTAGAACAAACCGGTTCATTGTGTTCTGCTTCCCCCGAAATTCCAGAAATATTCCTGGTTTTTTTTTTTTTTGGCGCCATCGC